GCAGTCCCAGGTCGACTCTGTAATCAGATATGTCATTAATACTGGACGCTCTAGGGAACCTCACTTACAGGCTTAGACGCAAACGTCCACCTCTCCACTCCATAGATGGCATTGCTGTCTAAGCGCCACCTCACCAGAGGTCAGCAGCGGCTATGTTATGAGCTGATTAAGACGGGAATCCAGTACCTGTGGCCGGTATATCCCGTTCTCACTAGATGGCGCTGTCCATTTGGAGTGGGTTTCGGGAGCGGACTCACAGATGGCGTTGTCGTCACTGCTCCGTGCTCCGACGCTGGACTCGGGTCCGTAACACCATCACACCCCTGCCCTCCACACCCCTGCCCTCCACGCCCCTGCCCTCCACACCTATTCCCTAAATACCCCTGCCCTCCACACCTCATACCACCATACCCCTGCCCTCCACACCTGTTACCATCATACCCCTGCCCTCCACACCTCATACCATCATACCCCTGCCCTCCACACCTGTTACCATCATACCCCTGCCCTCCACACCTCATACCATCATACCCCTGCCCTCCACACACTCCCTTGATACCATCCAGTCAAGACCTTTCTCACCTACACCCCTGTCCACCCGTCACTCCTCCCGTCACACCCACTGAGAGCTACAACCATCACTCACAAATCAGCAGTGTTGGTCAGCGTCTGGGCTGTGTGAGGGAGGTACACGTCCTGGTGTGGCCTCGATGGGATAATGAGCATGAGGAGCACCCTGGAGCATACAGGGAGCCTTAAGGAGCATGCACACGACACGAGGCATCACGCCCGGAGCATACAGGGAGCCTTAAGGAGCATGCACACGACACGAGGCATCACGCCCTGGAGCATATAGGGAACCTTAAGGAGCATGCACACGACACGAGGCATCACGCCCGGAGCATACAGGGAGCCTTAAGGAGCATGCACACGACACGAGGCATCACGCCCTGGAGCATATAGGGAGCCTTAAGGAGCATGCACACGACACGAGGCATCACGCCCTGGAGCATATAGGGAGCCTTAAGGAGCATGCACACGACACGAGGCATCACGCCCGGAGCATGTTTCGCCCGCCTCTCTTGGTATGCAACCCGCTCGCTCACTCCTAATGTGGAAACGAGAAAATTTCAGTAAAATTCTAACTTGGGAGCTCTTGCCTTCTGCTTGGCTATTCGGTGGGTGACGTCGTTGTTTTATTGGGTAAGAGGCTCTCCTTACCTGGGCCCGCTCGCTGCCTGCTCCGAATTACGCTCCACCGTCTCTCTGGCATCCATAATGGCAGCCACCACAACACTGGCGGAGGCGCCATGTTGTCTGTGGCGAGGTTGAGATGCCTCGCTCTCCTCTGAATGTAAATCAAGCTCCAGGTCTCTTGGTCCATGCGAGGCAGGTCCTATTGGCCCATGCGAGGCAGGTCCAATTGGCCCATGCGAGGAAGGTCCTATTGGCCCATGCGAGGCAGCTCCTCTCTTAACATGCATCCAAACTCTCTCAAACAAGCCAGCGAACACACGTGAATTATGTTACCCGGTAATGTGTTCAGTAACTCAACAACCCTATTACGAAGCCAGTATTTACCCAGGGCTTTCCCAAGTCTTCCTATGGCTAGACCTTAAGGGTTTTTGACGTACCCATTGATGGGTCGATCATGAAAGCATGACGTCTGAGTGGTCTTCATTCGATCCAATGATCCTGTTGAAACATATTACACAAGGCTGCGACGAAGAATCTAATCTAAATGTCCACTTTTTTTAGCAGCTACATCGAGCATTTAGCACCAATGACACTGAGTGGACAGCACTTCCGATTCGTAGGCCTGAAGTTCCGGGTTCGATCCTCGGTGGAGGCGGAGACAAATAGGCAAAATGTTTCTTTCCTGTGCTCCGGTGATTGGCCAGTAGGCAGATATCGATCGTAATCTGGAGCGAGAGTTCCTGGGGTGGCTGGGTGTGTGGGGATAGTGCGGGGGGGTTCTAGCTGTGGAAACATAAGCATGTCAGGGATGATGAGGCGCCAGTGATCAGGGCGCCACAATGGCGCAAGGTGCCACTGTTCCAGCGGCTTTTAGCGGGAAAGTTTGTTAATTAGTGGGTAGTGGAAGCGGCCGGTGAGGCTCCGCTCATCCTGTCGGCCACCTCGTGGCTGCTGCTGCTGCTGCTGGTACTGTTGTATGAATGGTTACGTGTGAGCGGGGGGCAGGGTGAGGGTATGTATGGTTGGTTACATGTGGGTATGAGAGCGGGGGTGGGGCATGTTACACACAGAAATCACAACAGCGTGATGCATCAAATGACCAAATCCACAAGGGCCGTGATGAGGGTTCGAACCTACGTCCGAGAAGATCCCAGACGCACCTTAATCAACTGTACCACGACATGGTAAAAAGAATTGCAACCTGGAGTCCTACTGACTTCCCACAGGGTATGGGGGCCCATGGGGAGGTGAGGGGGAGATACATGATACATGTCTACGGCCTACGGCGACCTCCAGTCCTATCCAAATAGGAAGCTTCGTTTTACGAACTGACGTGTTGAGATTTTCAGGTCAATAGCAAGAGGCGCTCTAAAGATTTTGTGGAGAAAAATATAAGAAAATGTAGTCATTCAACCCAATTTTAATACATCAGTAGAATTTTTTGCTAATACTCAACTTGGTGAATGAAAAATAACATCATAGTTCAGAAATCCCTATAAGTAAGCAAGTTCGTGTAGGGTTCTAAATGTTGTATTTAACATTTCTAAGGAGACAGTCATCCTTCCTTCTTTGTGGACATTAATGTGGTGATTGAGGAAACTGTTGTTGCCTCTCAGGTGTTTATTAAGAGAATAAACCCATGGGCATGCGGTACTGGGGTACCTGGAGGCTAGGGCATCCCATGGGCATGCTGTACTGGGGTACCTGGAGGCTAGGGCATCCCATGGGCATGCTATACTGGGGTACCTGGAGGCTAGGGCATCCCATGGGCATGCGGTACTGGGGTACCTGGAGGCTAGGGCATCCCATGGGCATGCTGTACTGGGGTACCTGGAGGCTAGGGCATCCCATGGGCATGCTGTACTGTGGTACCTGGAGGCTAGGGCATCCCATGGGCATGCGGTACTGGGGTACCTGGAGGCTAGGGCATCCCATGGGCATGCTGTACTAGGGTACCTGGAGGCTAGGGCATCCCATGGGCATGCTGTACTGGGGTACCTGGAGACTAGGGCATCCCATGGGCATGCTGTACTGGGGTACCTGGAGACTAGGGCATCCCATGGGCATGCTGTACTGGGGTACCTGGAGGCGAGGGCAACCCATGGGCATGCTGTACTGGGGTACCTGGAGGCTAGGGCATCCCATGGGCATGCTGTACTGTGGTACCTGGAGGCTAGGGCATCCCATGGGCATGCTGTACTGGGGTACCTGGAGGCTAGGGCATCCCATGGGCATGCTGTACTGGGGTACCTGGAGGCTAGGGCATCCCATGGGCATGCTGTACTGTGGTACCTGGAGGCTAGGGCATCCCATGGGCATGCTGTACTGGGGTACCTGGAGGCTAGGGCATCCCATGGGCATGCTGTACTGGGGTACCTGGAGGCTAGGGCATCCCATGGGCATGCTGTACTGGGGTACCTGGAGGCTAGGGCATCCCATGGGCATGCTGTACTGGGGTACCTGGAGGCTAGGGCAACCCATGGGCATGCTGTACTGGGGTACCTGGAGGCTAGGGCAACCCATGGGCATGCTGTACTGGGGTACCTGGAGGCTAGGGCATCCCATGGGCATGCTGTACTGGGGAACCTGGAGGCTAGGGCATCCCATGGGCATGCTGTACTGGGGTACCTGGAGGCTAGGGCATCCCATGGGCATGCTGTACTGGGGTACCTGGAGGCTAGGGCATCCCATGGGCATGCTATACTGGGGTACCTGGAGGCTAGGGCATCCCATGGGCATGCTATACTGGGGTACCTGGAGGCTAGGGCATCCCATGGGCATGCTATACTGGGGTACCTGGAGGCTAGGGCATCCCATGGGCATGCTGTACTGGGGTACCTGGAGGCTAGGGCAACCCATGGGCATGCGGTAGTACCTGGAGGCTAGGGCAACCCATGGGCATGCTGTACTGGGTACCTGGAGGTTAGGGCAACCCATGGGCATGCTGTACTGGGGTACCTGGAGGCTAGGGCATCCCATGGGCATGCTGTACTGGGGTACCTGGAGGCGAGGGTATCCCATAGGCATGCTGTACAGGGGTATTGCTTCTGGTAATGAAGTGTCGAGTGATAGATGAAGATTAATTCACCCAAGAGGCGGCACGGGCTCTTAAGTAATGAAGTGTAATGTGTCATCTACTTGCAACCCGTTCTCGCAAATTTAATAAGTCAATATTGACTTATTAAATATGTGCATAGGTGACATACTTAACATAATAGATACCCTTAAAAAGATTCATAGAAAACACCGACCTTACCTAACCTTGTTAGTATCTTAAGATAAGCATCTTATTGCTTCGTAATTACAATTATTACCTAACCTATAATAGGTATAGGTTAAGTAATAATTGTAATTACGAAGCAACAAGATGCTTATCTTAAGATACTAACAAGGTTAGGTAAGGTCGGTGTTTTCTATGAATCTTTTTAGGGTATCTATTATGTTTAGTATATCACTTATGCACGTAGTTAATAAGTCAATATTGACTTTACGAATTTGCGAGAACGGGTTGTCTACTTATACACACATAAGGGCGTGAGTACACGTGAACAGTGTACGGGCACTGTGAACAGTGTACGGGCAAGGTCAACAGTGTACGGGCAAGGTCAACAGTGTACAGGCAAGGTCAACAGTGTACGGGCAAGGTCAACAGTGTACGGGCAAGGTCAACAGTGTACGGGCAAGGTCAACAGTGTACGGGCAAGGTCAACAGTGTACGGGGCAAGGTCAACAGTGTACGGGGCAAGGTCAACAGTGTACGGGCAAGGTCAACAGTGTACGGGCAAGGTCAACAGTGTACGGGCATGGTGAACAGTGTACGGGCAAGGTCAACAGTGTACAGGCAAGGTCAACAGTGTACGGGCAAGGTCAACAGTGTACAGGCAAGGTCAACAGTGTACAGGCAAGGTCAACAGTGTACAGGCAAGGTCAACAGTGTACAGGCAAGGTCAACAGTGTACGGACAAGGTCAACAGTGTACGGGCAAGGTCAACAGTGTACAGTCAACAGTGTACAGGCAAGGTCAACAGTGTACAGGCAAGGTCAACAGTGTACGGGCAAGGTCAACAGTGTACGGGCAAGGTCAACAGTGTACAGGCAAGGTCAACAGTGTACAGGCAAGGTCAACAGTGTACGGGCAAGGTCAACAGTGTACAGGCAAGGTCAACAGTGTGTCACAGGGCAAGGTCAACAGTGTACGGGCAAGGTCAACAGTGTACAGGCAAGGTCAACAGTATACGGCCAAGGTCAACAGTGTACGGCAAGGTCAACAGTGTACGGGCAAGGTCAACAGTGTACAGGCAAGGTCAAGTGTACAGGCAAGGTCAGTGTACGGGCAAGGTCAACAGTGTACAGGCAAGGTCAACAGTGTACAGGCAAGGTCAACAGTGTACAGGCAAGGTCAACAGTATACGGCCAAGGTCAGGTCAACAGTGTACGGACAAGGTCAACAGTGTACAGGCAAGGTCAACAGTGTACGGGCAAGGTCAACAGTGTACAGGCAAGGTCAACAGTGTACGGGCAAGGTCAACAGTGTACGGGGCAAGGTCAACAGTGTACGGGCAAGGTCAACAGTGTACGGGGCAAGGTCAACAGTGTACGGGCAAGGTCAACAGTGTACAAGGTCAACAGTGTACAACAACAGTGTCACAGTGTACGGGCAAGGTCAACAGTGTACGGGCAAGGTCAAGTGTACGGGCAAGGTCAACAGTGTACAGGCAGGCAACAGTGTACGGGCAAGTGTGTACGGGCAAGGTCAACAGTGTACGGGCAAGGTCAACAGTGTACGGGCAAGGTCAACAGTGTACGGGCAAGGTCAACAGTGTACAGGTCAAGGTCAGGCAACAACAGTGTACGGCCAAGGTCAACAGTGTACGGGCAAGGTCAACAGTGTATGGGCAAGGTCAACAGTGTACGGGGCAAGGTCAACAGTGTACGGGCATGGTGAACAGTGTACGGGCAAGGTCAACAGTGTACAGGCAAGGGCAACAGTGTACGGTCAAGGTCAACAGTGTACGGGGCAAGGGCAACAGTGTATGGGCAAGGTCAACAGTGTACGGGGCAAGGTCAACAGTGTACAGGCAAGGGCAACAGTGTATGGGCATGGTGAACAGTGTACGGGCAAGGTCAACAGTGTACGGGCATGGTGAACAGTGTACGGGGCAAGGTCAACAGTGTACGGGCAAGGTCAACAGTGTACGGGCAAGGTCAACAGTGTACAGGCATGGTGAACAGTGTACGGGCAAGGTCAACAGTGTACGGGCATGGTGAACAGTGTACGGGGCAAGGTCAACAGTGTACAGGCAAGGGCAACAGTGTACGGACAAGGTCAACAGTGTACGGACAAGGTCAACAGTGCACGGGCAAGGTCAACAGTGTACGGGCAAGGTCAACAGTGTACGGGCAAGGTCAGACCAGCTTCCCCAGGGTACACAGAGCCAGAACAACCTTCCAGGTGATCTAATCAAGGCTGAGATTGTCTTAACAACCTCCAAGATCTCCTGAGATGGCGTTACTGGGAGCCGCAGCCTCCTTCTACTTCAATATTACTTTGCTATGGTCTTGTCACCGGGTCTATAGTGACTATTATATTTTAATGGGCTATTCACTGTGTGTTATATAACATGCCTTAAAATCTTATATCTATGACCTTTGGGGGGTGGGGGTATCCGGCGCTGCCCGGGGCTCTGTTTCTCTTCCTCTGAACATACAGTCACTTAGAGTAGCCCCGTCCCATCTGGTCCACCCCTCCCCTCCCATCTCGCTTTTGTAACCTCTTCACACTTCTGTCTCACAATTAAGACCCTACCTGGCCCCACCTGGCCCCACCTGGCACCACCTGGCCCCACCTGGAACCACCTGGCCTCACCTGGCCCCACCGGGCCCCACCTGGCCCCACCTGGCCCCACCTGGCCCCACCTGGCCCCACCTGGCCCCACCTGGCCCCACCTGGCACCACCTGGCCCCACCTGGCCTCACCTGGCCCCACCTGGCCCCACCTGGCACCACCTGGCCCCACCTGGCCCCACCTGGCCCCACCTGGCCCCACCTGGCCCCACCTGGCCCCACCTGGCCCACCTGGCCCCACCTGGCCTCACCTGGCCCCACCTGGCCCCACCTGGCCCCACCTGGCCTCTCCTGGCCTCACCTGTCCTCACCTGGCCCACCTGGCCCCACCTGGCCCCACCTGGCCCCACCTGGCACCACCTGGCCCCACCTGGCCTCACCTTGCCCCACCTGGCCCCACCTGGCCCCACCTGGCCCCACCTGGCCCCACCTGGCCCCACCTGGCACCACCTGGCCCCACCTGGCCCCACCTGGCACCACCTGGCACCACCTGGCACCACCTGGCCCCACCTGGCACCACCTGGCCCCACCTGGCCCCACCTGGCCCCACCTGGCACCACCTGGCCCCACCTGGCCCCACCTGGCCCCACCTGGCCCCACCTGGCCCCACCTGGCCCCACCTGGCCCCACCTGGCCCCACCTGGCCCCACCTGGCCCCACCTGGCCCCACCTGGCCCCACCTGGCCCCACCTGGCACCGCCTGGCTCCACCTGGCCCCACCTGGCCCCACCTGGCCAAGGAACACTACCACAGTGGCCCCACCTGGCCAAGGAACACTACCACAGTGGCCCCACCTGGCCAAGGAACACTGCCACAGTGGCCCCACCTGGCCAAGGAACACTACCACAGTGGCCCCACCTGGCCAAGGAACACTGCCACAGTGGCCCCACCTGGCCAAGGAACACTGCCACAGTGGCCCCACCTGGCCAAGGAACACTGCCACAGTGGCCCCACCTGGCCAAGGAACACTGCCACAGTGGTCCCACTGAGCGCCGGCCTACACACCGCCAGAGGGAGCCCGCACCAAACATACGGAGCCTGAAACTCGCCTCATTCCATATTACCAGCAAACGATCCCATAAACCTGTGCCAGCTCTCCGACCTAAAACGGATTACGCTTAATACAAAATACAACGGCAGTTTTGCATCCGCGATACATACAAAGCCTCAAATACATAGGATCTGTCACTCCCAACGGGGTAAACTTTAAACTGGAGCCGCCGGCCTGGCGGTTCCACCGATGGCACACTTTCAACTGGTGTGGGGGTGTGGGTGGGGGGGGGAGGGGGTGGGGGGGGGGGGGTTGTGGGTGGAGGGGGGGTAGGAATGTTGTCATACCTCATGCGCCTCCTTCCCCCCAACGCCCATTGTCGTCTCTGCTATTACGGCCTTCTCGTATATCCTCACATCCGTACCTTCCTCATCATACACACACACACACAAGGGGCCTGTGGTAGCCTGGTGGATAGCGCGCAGGACTCGTAATTCTGTGGCCTGGGTTCGATTCCCGCACCAGGCAGAAACAAATGGGCAAAGTTTCTTTCATCCTGAATGCCTCTGTTATCTAGCAGTAAATAGGTACCTGGGAGTTAGTCAGCTGTCACAGGCTGCTTCCTAAGGGGGGGGGGGGGTGTGAAGAGGAAAAAATTAGTAAACAGTTGATTGACAGTTGAGAGGCGGGCCGAAAGAGCAAAGCTCAACCCCCGCAAACACAACTAGGTGAATACAACTAGGTGAATACACACACACACACACACACACACACACACACACACACACACACACACACACACACACACACACACACACCTGTAGTTCTGGCACGAGCGAGCGTATAGATCAAATAATGAAAGAGAGTGTGGTTTATGTGTGTGTGTGTGTACTCATCTATTTGTGCCTGCAGGATCGAGCTTTAGGTCTTGTACCCCGCTTTTCTAGTCGTTGGTTGTCTAATGCAGCGACTCCTGACCTCTTTCCCTATCATACCTGCTTTTAAAGTTCTGAATGGAGTTAGCCTCTACACCCTGCTCCTTTAGATCATTCCATCTACTCACTACTTATCCTAAAGGAAAACTTTCTAACATCTCTATGACACATCTGAGTCTCAAGCTTCCATCCGTGTCCCTTTGTTCTATTGTTATTCATTGTAAACAATTCCTCTGTTTCTACTTTGTCAATCCCTATAAGTATTTAATACGTCTGTATCAAGTTCCCCCTTTCCTTTCTCCTTTCTAACGCCGTCAGGTTTAGTTCCTTCAGTCTGTCTTCGTACCTCATCCCTCGCAACTCTGGGACGAGTCTCGTTGCAAACTTCTGCACTTTTACGAGCTTCCTTGTGTCTTTTTAGACTGGGGTTCCACGATGGGGCGGCATACTCTAAAACTGGCCTCACATTGGCGGTATAGTGATCTAAAAGCCTCCTTATTCAGGTTTTTGAAGGATATTCTGACTTTTGCCAGCGTAGAGTATACGGTTGACGTTATTCTATTTATATGAGCCTCTGGAGTTAGGTTCGGCGTTATGTCCACTCTCAGGTCTTTTCCTCTAGACCTTATAGGGAGGTAGTTTCCTTCCATCATGTATTGGCCTTTCGGTCTCCTGGCTCCTGATCCCATTTCCATCACCTTACACTTGCTGGTGTTGAACTCTGGCAACCATTTCTCGGACCAGCTCTGCATCCTGTTCAAGTCATCCCGGAGCATCTTACAATCTTCATCTGTCTCAATCCTCCTCATTAGTTTTGCGTCATCTGCAAACATTCACATATAAGACTCACCTCCTGTAGTCAAGTCGTTTACATAAATGAGGAATAGTATGGGACCCAGAACCGATCTTTGAGGCACCCCGCTTGTTACTCTACGCCAGTCCGACTCGTCGCCCCTCACTGTCACTCTCTGGCACCTGTCTGTTAGGGAATTCCTTACCCATGTTAATGCGTTGCTGCCTACTCCCGCCTGCCTTTCAAGTTTGTATAGTCACCTCCTGTGTGGTATTGTATCAAAAGCTTTTTGGTAGTCCAGAAATATGCAATCTGCCCATCCTTCTCTGTCTTGCCTTATTTTCGTTACCTTTTCATAAAACTCCATGAGGTTCGCCTAGCATGATTTCCCTTCTCTTAAGCCATGTTGTTATTTACTGTACTTACAAACACAATCATTTCTAGGTGTGCTACTAGTCTTAAACTTATGATTATTTCAGGTACTTTGCAAGGGATGCTTGTGAGTGACACTGGTCTGTAGTTAAGTGCTTCTTCTCTATCTCCTTTCTTGTAGATTGGCACCACATTTGCCTTCTTCCAGCAGCTGGGCATCCCCTCCCCCCCCTTCCTTGTAAGGGACTCTTTAAAGATTAGCATTAGAGATATGCTGAGGGCCTGTGATGTTTCTTTTAATTAACAGCTATGGTGATACTCTATCAGGCCCAGTAGCTTTAATTACTTCCAGTGATGCTAGTTGTGTTCTTACTTCCTCTATTGTTACCTCAATATTTAGCAACTTAGAGGGAAGACGGTCCAGGTAATGATGGACCAAGTGAAACTGAGGTGCCAAGAGGCAGGAGAGAGATTCATACCACCATTAAGGGAACAAAGTAGGAGAACATATAACATGTGGGTCAATAGACAGTGCCAGGAAGCAAAAGCAAAAAGCAGGAGGGAGTGGTGGAAATACAGAAGACAAAGGACAGAGGTAAACTGCACTAGATGCAACAGGACCAGGAATGACCACATAAACATAAGAAGATTGGCAGAAAGAACCTATTAAAATGATGTTGCCTCCAAAGCAAAGTGACAACCGAAACTCCTACATAGCCATATAAGAAGGAAAATAACAGTGAATTACCAAGTGACCAGATTATGAAAAAGGTGAGACCAGTATACAGAAAATGATAAAGAAATTTGTGAGGAGCTCAATGGCAGCTTCCATGGAGTGTTCACTTCTGAGCCTGAACACCTCCCAGAGCTAGATGAGGAAGCAGCCCGTGATGAGAAACTACTAAATATTGAGGTAACAATAGAGGAAGTAAGAACACAACTAGCATCACTGGATGTAACTAAAGCTACTGGGCCTGATAGAGTATCACCATGAATGTTAATTAAAAGAAACATCACAGCTTCCCAGACACTCTCTTACTTTCACGGTCTCCTTTTTTATGGTCTACTCTCCCTTCCCTGCCTCCTGGTCTTATGGGCTGTGTTGTGAGGTCCATCATGTAGTGGAAGACCAGGACACACTGGTCACTTGCTCCCAGTGGTATTCCAGTAGGCTTGGTGTATCTCCTCTTTCTCTTGTGTCTTCATTTACAT